TATATAGAATTTCAGAACAAATCAAAATAAATTAGATATACAATATTAGCAGATTAGCTAGGTAGGTACCTGTATTTCACAAAATTTTGTATAAATAAGTAAATTAAATAAAATCAAAAAACTTAAAACAAAAACATTTTTATTAATTCTAAAAAGATAATACATAATTTATTTACTCTTCGGCGAATCTCTGCACTTTAATTTTCTACCTCTTCTATTCAAAATTATTTCCGGGCCCACACAATCCTCATAAAAAACTCTCAGTTTCTCCATTAGATTTAAAAAAAAAATCATCAAAAAAAATATTTTTTCAATAAAAAGAGGATTCTCATCTCCTACATAAACTATAAAATGGCACATTCTTCTTCGTGAGATACCGAGTTGTCCTTGAATCTAAAAACATAATAATTTTTAATTTGTTAGAAAATATAGCTTTCATTAAATTACTTTGAAATGTAGTCAGAAATCTTACCTGATAATAGTAATTGTGGGTTTCCTTTAAATGAATTTCACCATTTTCAATTCTTAAACAGGGAACCATTTTTTTCTTTACTGCCTCTCTCAATGAGAGATTAAATGTAGCTACTTTTAAAAAACATTTAACCCCGACAAGTTCATCAGAATTAATTAAACCTAAAAAATATACAAAGTTATTAAACTATTATTATAATACGTAAATAATTATCGCTTACCATTAGGTGATGGACCTAGGAACCCATATTGCACATCAACAAATAACCCTGATGGTATACCTGTTTTGCCAGTTTCTTCTTGAAATTTGTTTAGGTCTGTTCTGGTTTTGAGAAATAACGATCCACAACTGTCGGGCTCATGCGCAGTAGATAAAAAGTGTTCTGGTTTTTCTGGGACTACTTCGGATCTCTCAGTCCAGTGTTCTGGTTTCGTATCCGAAATAATCCGTGATTGTTGTAAACAGTCAAAAAGTGTTCATGCTTGAGAGTGTGGATCGACTCGGACTGTTTTGACCGCGCATGCGTTTTTGAAGTGTTATGAATATTGTATTGGCTTTTTAGACCATACGAAACGTATACAATCCCAAATTGTTTATTTATATGTGGACGAATGTCTCTTGTTCTTGTTTTATTTGTAAATTAAAGCAATTTTAGAATTATATTAATTTTTTAATATTCTGTTTTTATTTATTCCATTGAAATGTGATGATAATGATAAACATATACATGCAAATGTTATTTGAAGCTGAGCTTTCAAAAGGAACTTCATTATTATAATAAACAATAAACAAAACACCTTCATGACGTGTTCTGGTTTTCCAAGAATTTCAAACAGTCGGGGATTTTTTGCCTTTACGCATACGGTCCGGCGCAGTTTCAAAACAGTTTTCATTTTGAGAACCAGAACAAACCTTTTATAGCCACACCTTCGTTTTGTATGCTGTACTCAATTGCTGGGGTAGTTATTCCTTGTTTGTCTGTCACGATTTTTTTACCAAACAATCGCTTAGAGTACGGGCCCTTCTTTTGGCAACTTCCCCAAAATAAGAAGCCGTTAGCCCAAATCTTCTTTCCTCCAAGTATCTTGGGTTGCTGAACTGTCCTATAGGGATTGTCTCTGCCTATAGTTTCTTCTGATATTTGTTGTTGTTGTTGTTGTTTTTGTTGTTGTTGTTGTTGTTGTTGTTGTTGTTGTTGTTGTTGTTGTTGTTGTTGTTGTTGTTGTTGTTGTTGTTGTTGTTGTTGTTGTTGTTGTTGTTGTTGTTGTTGTTGTTGTTGTTGTGTTGTTGTTGTTGTTGTTGTTGCTTACTCGTCACCTAAAAATATTTAAATATAAAATCATGTAAAAAGTAAAAACGTAATATTCTTGTTAATACCTTTAGGCGGTCAATTAATTTATTAACTTCTTTAAGACATTTATCACTGATGTCTACCTCTGCAATATTCCGTACTCCTTTGTTTCTGATGGTTTTGGTTTTTTTATAGCCTTTCTTTTTCTAACAGTAGGTTTTCTTTTAATTTTGTCATGCTCCTCGTTATTTACCCATTTTCTTAGAAAATGGGGGGTGCTTCTCTATTAAAGCATTGCTTCAAAATTTTGATGTGCCAATTAACTCCATTATTGTAACGAAGAGCGCTCAAAACACACCTACTTTGGAAACCGTTCCTTTGAATGAGATTTAATCGTTTTCCCATATTGAAACGAGCAATAATATTCATTTAATTTAATGCTGCGTATACATGGTGGTGAGCTCCTGATGATGTGAATTCGGAATGTTTGTTAATATCGTTGTTAACATCGCAAATTTCTCTTCGGCAGTTAACATGATTACCAAAAACATGTGTTACACTATTTCTTAAATCTTGTTTAAGTTGTGCAGCGCTTCCATCTTTATTAGTGTAAACTGCGAATTGTGCAGCCTATTTTTGTATGATATCACATGTTAAATATTTCCTTGCCTTTAAAGAAACGGTTCTAGTGTTCTTCTTTATGTTGTAAAGATGTTTGCTACAATTTTGAATGCAATGACTTTGTTACCTGAAATTACAAAGACAATAACGTAAACTAATTTAACAGCTATTAAAATGTGTACCTACCTCTACACGGAAAAATTGTTTATTATCCACCACTCAATATGAAATAGAAATATTCAAGAACCAAATCGTTTTTTTATACAACTACCCCAACTACCTTTCAACGTAATGGAAATAAATCAAAATATTAAAACTTTAATCTTTTGTTACTGTGATGTTCATAATTCTTTTCTCTATTGAGAATGAAACTCACTTTTCTTAGAATGCAGGTAGTCAAAATTAAATTATTTTTAAATAAATAAGATTTACAACCTTAATCTATGAACATTATGAATTTTAAAATCAAATAACTACTTCTTTGATCCTCTAAGTCTTATAATAAGTATTAGTATTATAATAATAAATTGTCTAGACTTAGGTACTTAATACCTACTTACGGAAAGTGAAATCATTTTAATTTAATCCCAGTATTTTTTAAATTTGTATCTTATATTGTAAAACAATGAAAATGAGAGCAATTTGTTTTTCTATCTTATGGAGTTAAAAATTCTTTTAAAATCAATACAAGAGGTAAATATTTATTTTCACAGGTGTCAACGATACACGCCATCAAATACTATGGGATTTAAACCCGAATCGCCGAATCCAAAGTCCCAAGCTCTGCCCATTACTTTATTAATGATATTAATTTATATACATCATTTTTATAAATCTAAATATTTCGTTTTCAGCTAAAGCAAAAATCGGTCATTTATAAATTTTCTACGTATTTTAAAAAATGAAATTTATCTTGATTTGAAAACATGGATCTAGCAATCAGTATGTAGGTATATAGAATTAATAAATCCAAATAAAAACTCGTTTTTAAAAAATTTAAAAAATAAATAATTATATAATTACTTATTGCCTTTTAATTACTATTTAAGGGCCGATTCCACCGTTGTGTTAAACGGAGATTAAAATGACATTGTTAATGTAAAGATATAACTTTAAACTTCGTTTAACACAGCGGTGGAATCGGTACTAAATAAAATAAATAATATAATTATATTATTTTTCTTTTGGTACTAAAATATTTTCGTTCATTTCCGTATCCAGATAGAAATGATTCATACGCTAACAACTCCGTGAGTAGCAAATAAATTCAACGGATCGATAATTCATCTTGGTGAGTAGATTATTTTACCAAATATTTGACTATAGGCACTACTGGTTAGACAGTCCCGCAGTACAGAATTCGACCGCAAATCCTTTAGAGACTGTCCTTAAGGTATTTTTCGCGGCATAAACCAACATAAACGTTTATGATCGATTATGTTATTTAGACAAGTCTGATTTGGTCTAAATCAGTGGTTCTCAAACTTTTTTGGCGACGGAACCTTTTTGAAAAGCGAAATATTTCACGGAGCCCTAACACATTTTAAAAAAAAAGGTTCTCAAGCACAATCATATCCTCCTTCCTCCTAGTGTCTTCTAAAAAAAGTCCTTAAGTCAAGTCCCTCCCTTTTGTAGCGCGGTGTAATGCTTCTTTTTTTTTATTATGGCCATTATTTTCTCCGCGCCGCGGACCACACTTTGAGTAACGCTGGACTCCAAGGGTCGATTCCACCGTTGTGTTAAACGGAGATTAAAATGACATTGTTAATGTAAAAATGTCATTTTAAACTTTGTTTAACACAACGGTGGAATCGGTCCTTAATGACATAATGGGTCCTATGATTGAACGTTTACGTTATCCGTAACGTACATGTTAGGCTCAGTTTTAACAGTAATTAGGCAAGTTCGTATGATGAAAAACGGTTTCCAATACATTATTGTTATTTTCCGCCTGTTATGTTCTAATTTAACAGTTTTTCATCATACAAACTTGCTTCGTTACTGTTAAAATTCGACCTAACATGTACGTTATGGATAACATAAACGTTCAATCATAGGACCCAATCTATCATAAACGTTCATGTTGGTTTATGCTGCGAAAAATATATTTTTCTCTCGAGTTTGAAAATAGCCTTCAAGGGGGGCTATTTTCAAAGTATGGGAGCACTCATTTCTCTCAAGATTCTCATCAGAAATGTCATACGTCAATGTGGAAACGCTGTTTTTAAAGGCCTCGAGGATTAAAAATCTTAGGAGGATATTAATTATCTCTAAATAAACCGTGAGAAACAATCAGTGAGTTCACACTGGCCCTTAGAACCCTAAACATTACTGTTTTACGTTGACGTATGACATTTCTCTCGAGAGAAATGAATTCTCTCGACTTTGAAAATAGCCCCCCAGGAGGTTGATTAAAATATATGAAGCCTTTTTTTAGAATCTCGGTAGAAGGTACAGAGCTTGATTAAAATATATGATGAGGAATTTAGAAGCTCGACAAAATACTTAAAATAAAAGTGTACGATTTGAGGACGCCATGTACGGTAATTTGAATTACGCGGTACGGTAAATGGAATTTTAAAAGTTGGCAACTCTGTATTAGTGTCAATTTTATTTTGGTTGGGTTCGTTCGTGGGTTGGTTGCATTGTATTGTCATTTGTCCTTTGAATTCTACCTATTCCGAAAATCGAAAATCAGAATTTTTTAATAGTCGGTGAACTATTTTTTGTAGCAAGTATAAAGTATTAAATTATGTTCGTCTCAAGAATTCTTAGGCCCACTGCTGTCCAGTAAGTAAAAAGAGAATATTAAATATACATGCAAAAATAACATTTTTTTTAAATAATTACCTACATGTTTTAATTACGTAATTTTTTTCCAAAATATTATTTTAGGCACATTCGCTTCATGTCACAACTAGGAGACTTAGGAAGCGGTGCTGGCAAGGGTGGTGGTGGAGGTGGTTCAATCAGAGAAGCTGGTGGGGCCTTTGGCAAACAAGAAGCTGCCAGAGAGGAAGAATATTTTTATAAAAAGGTCTGCAAATTGTTAGACTCGTATTTTCTATTTTTATTTAAAGAAAATGAAGAGCATTAAAATATTAACAACGGGAAAACTGAATTTTTGGGTATATGTTTTATGGGATAGATAAAAGTACATACTTTTTTAGGTTATGTTCTTGAATTGTGATTTTACTTATATTTATATATTTTAGCAAAGAGAACAGTTACTAAAACTGAAGTCTGACTTAAAAGATGAAATAAGCTTCCACGAAGAACAAATTAAGAGACATCAAGAAGCTATTAATCGTCATAAGTCGAGGGTTAATGATTTGGACAAAAAGGAGTAATTTAGTAATTTTAAATGTTGTGTACTTATTAGTTTGCTGTTAATTTTCATCAAAAATGTCGAGCACTTATGTGTAATTGATGTTATATGATACTGTATGATATTTGAATTAATAATAAAAAAACAACTCTAAATTTGTTTTAATCTACTAATGTATAACATATGTACCTATCCATATTAAATTAAAAGAAAGGTAATTATCGTCATTTCTATTAAGTTTCTCTGAGCAAAATATACCTAGGTAGGTACCTAGTCTTTAAGTTATATGGGTAAACCACATTTTCATAAAAATACTGGCATTTTTTAATGTAGTTTATAATAAATATTGAAATCGCCTTCTAATTATATTTCAAAAAAGAATACCTACCTATCAGTATTTTAAGATTGATAAAAACGCAGTTTCATGGAAAAATTCATATGAAGCCTATTAGGCATTCCAAACAATGGCTGCCCGTGGGTAATTATAGGTTATGTGATAGGACCATAGCCCTCAGAAAGTCTAGATACCGCTTGGCGTATACTGTCAATACAAAAAAATTACCCCATTCAAGCTTGTCGCCATGTTAAGCCTTGGTTTCTTTGAACACTCCGTCGCGGTGAGCGGACAGTCCGTCGACCGCTGAGGACAACAATTTTCGCCCGAGGTGGTTTGTTAAAAAATATAGAAAATGATACTTTCTCTATGTCTGTACGTGCTGTTTATGTATTATGAATGTAAACGAAAGGTACTAAAATGGTTGCAAATAAATTGTTTGCGTTGTTATTATTGTTGGAAGAGGAAGAACAAGAGGAACTGGCAATTGCAACCGTCAAAGTTTCCAATAAGCCAGTGAATGAGTTGTTTTTCTGTCGCGATACAGAAGGTGCCTTTAATATCACTGTGCAGCGGAGGCTTTTTGGAAATGAAACCAAATTTAGGGAGTATTTTAGACTTTCTACAGATCTTTTTGAATTCGTGTTGAGTTTTATAAAGGACATAATTTCCAAGAAACCTAAAAATAAAGTCATGATGTCATCTGTATGTGTGAATTTGTCACTCATTGTTTTAAAATTAATAACAATATAGTCTCCGCACACGCCGACGATTCCGCTGATATCAAACTCAACAGATATCAACCGACTCTTCGCGACAAATCAGCGGCATGACGCCGTCCTGTTCAGCTAAGCGAATTCAAGAAAACCATTCCCATTTAAATACTCTGGTTGGATAAAATCGTCAAAACGCGACGGTTGACGGACTGTCCGCTCACCGCGACGAAGTGTTCAAAGAAACCAAGGCTTTAGATAAATTTATGCTTTGTCTACACTGATTTTTAGTTTGTGTGTTCTGTAATACGTGAACACCGATAATCTGCACTTTGTTATTAGTTATAAGTGAGTGAGACGCACAATTTCTAATTTCAAATTAAGAACAAAACTTTGACAAACCTATTTGATTTTCCTATAAAAAAAAACTGTTCAGACAGGACCGGTTTTATAAAATTTCTCGTTCTTGAAATGTTATTTTTACATGGTTATATATTATTGGATAAGTGGTTTGTGTACATATTGCTATGAGAATTATAGAGAAATTCAGTGAGATTTATGTAATATAATTCAAATTACAAGTAAACCATCTGTTCCTGTTTGGCAATATGGAGAAAATACCTACTTCAATGTCAAATGTACTATTTAAAAGAATGTGATTGTTAACCGGTCATTTATTTATATTATATTATGAAAAGAAAAAATCGAATTTTTTAACTAGGGAAAGATATATTTACATCGGTAACAAGGTATTTTTAGAAAAACTAATAGATTACTCCTATTCCTATAGTTTATTTGAAAATGAATAATAGCAAAATTATATAAAAATATGGACCTTTGCTATAAAAACTGTGCTACCAAGCATTTTCAAATAAACTATAATGATAATTTGATTTAATAGAGCGAGTATAAGATCTCACCTGTTAGAGAAATTGGGGCATAGGGAAGAGATTATGAAGCAGGTAAGCGAAGTCATTGCAAAAGATAAATATATAGAAGTTATTTTAAAAATTTGATAAAAAACTAGTGGAACAAGAAATGGAGTTGTCGCTATCGGAGATCCAATCAGCAGAAAGTAAAAAAAAAACTTTGGGAATGTTGGAAAAGGGCACAGCAATAGGCCCAAAACAATTCCTTGGTTTTTTAATAAATATAATCTGAGATGCAAAAATTACTGCTAGAGTGGAGAAGCAGTATTGTTCTAATGTAGAAAACCTAGGGACATACAGCAGTGCACTAACCATAGGCGAATAGTCACTAAATTATACAAGAGTCCCATCTCGATTTTATTTTTAAATATTTTTGAGAATACCTATTATTATTTGTTACATTGAGTTTAATAAAACCACAGATTTCGAATGTATTGAAAGTTATTTAAAAAGTACCTTTATAAATATATAGAAAATGTGTATATGACTAACTGGTTTTATTAATCTTTTTTTGGGGTAGGTAAATATATTTTGAAAAATTTACAAACTTCTTTTGAATAAAAGAAAAAATATTTCTGTTTTTATTAACTGAACAATATTTTATACGAACATAATATATACCTATTTAAAAGAAAATATTACATTTTACAAGTATCGCATATTTATATGAAATAACTAACTCAATAAGAAAGAATTAAATGAAACAAATTAATAAACAATGGATATGAAAAATTGCTATAACAATTTAATCCTTAGATAAACTAATTCTTACATATTGCTTTAATCAATTTATTTACTATAAAAGTATATTTCCTAACATTTATTACATATAATAAAATAAAGCATAAAACATACAAACTATAATATGTACCTACTTAGAACGGAACTAATATTATTGTATCAAGGTAGTAATAGTGGACATTTTCCGAATAAAAAAAAGTAAAAAAGAAGTAACGGTCGACACGTTTTTCTGACTATTGGTCTTCATCAGTACGGTGCAGTCAAGTTCAAAGGATCATGGAACTTGTGTTGGAAAAATTGTACAATAAGTCACTAACAAGGAGCCAATAACACATTTGCCGTTTCAGCTAGTATCCCCAAATTTTCTGGGCTTATACTAAAGTCACAAAATGATTCAATGGTCTTCCTATGGCTATCAGTTATTCTTTCCTAACATTTTTTGGTATGCTAGAACAAAACATACAAATTATTTGATTTTGTAAATACACAAATATTTGTGAAAACTTACACATGAAATGTTATTCCTTCCTTGTATCTTCTACCGTTAGATGCATTGTTACATTCACGTACAAAACAAAAAGAGATTTTGAAAATCCTGTAAAAATTTAACACCAAACCACAAATGTTTTTTATTAAAATAAAACACTAAACGACTAAACTAAAAAATAATGTTTTAAATAAAACCTTTACTAGAAGAACAAAATAAACAACACAACAGATAATAAAATCGATTATATACGTCGAACGCCGATCTTACGCTTATTACTAAACTTGCGCCGATTCTGTCTTGTCAGTAGTGCCAACTTAAAATTTATTGACATTTATTTATCATGGCGCCCATCATATGGGGGGTCAAAATGTTTTTACGATGCGGTATCTAGACCTTCTGAGGGCTATGGATAGGACATGGTCAATGTTATAAATACTTATATAGATTAATAATCGTTTTTTAAAATAAACATAAGTTTATAAAGTATTTATCGCGGCATAAACCAACATAAACATTTATAATATATTATGTTATTTAAGACGTGCAAATAACATCTATCATAAACGTTCATGTTGGTTTATGCCGCGAAAAATACCTTGATGTGTCCCACAGATCAATTACTTATGTGTCCGATGACTCCGATGTGGATAAACAAACGCTCGAGAATCTCGAGATGTAAAAAATGCATCATGGATATTCATATATTCAAACGCAGCATAAGTCGTCGAAAAGCGGGTTTCATTCACTGATCAACTGAAAGAACAATGCCGATCAACAAAACAAACTCACAGCGAGGTGATATTTGACACTCTGACGCCCACACGTGCGTATCGAAATGTACTAAAAAGGATCATCAAAATTAAATTTAACACTTATTACATTCAATTACGACACCTTTTAATTTAAGAAAATCATTTAAAAATGATTTTTATTAATAGGCAGCTAAAACAAATGTTCCAATAATAATAATTATTAAAATAGCGCGTTATTAATAAAAAATAATATATTTTATCGTAGTACGCCCATGGGAGACGTGACGTAGAATGCTGGAAATTGACAGTCTGGCGTCAAAATTGTCATGCGCACCGACCCCCGACCATTTTTATCACCCATGACGGCGTAAAAATAAGGAGTAGGGTTTATGTCATCCAGTTTAATATCAAGGTCGGTAGTCAGAACGGCAATTCGGCACGTGTTGTGACGACTATCTTCGTTCCACAGAATCCGATTCGTATGTAATATCTCTCTCTCTCTCTCTCTATTCAATTCGTAACGTGTTGAGTACGTACATAAGAATCCCTGTCTAGTTCTGTTTAGCGGACATTGCTCCCTCTTTTCGTAGTCTTCTTATTTACATTATACATATGGGTGGACAATCTATATGACCAAGACCAATACATCATTGGGGGTCACCGGTCAAACAAGTTCAAGTATTCTATTCCATGTATGTATTTCATTCAGCTTATTCAAGTTTTTGTGACTGATTTAACGTTGAACCAAAACACAATTACCGACGACCGACCCATAAAGTTTGTAATGTAAAACATTCTCATTAGCCTTGAATTTTGGATTCATTCGCCTGCCTGTTTTAAATATTTATGATATACATTACGGTGCTACTTTACTAAATTTTCAATAAAAATTCATTCCACTCAGAAGAAGTTTGTCATTGAAGGAAGGTAAAATAATAATTAATTATGGTTCAGGTGAGTCAAAACTATTTTTTTAAGCATACCTACCTACCGCTTTTAATCTCTATAGGTTAGTTTGATGAACCTTCAAAATGCATAGGTCATCACTCACAAAGTTAATAATTATATTGTTATTAAATAATGATCTTTTCTCTTAATATATTACATTAAATTAAAAAAAAACATGTTCCTAAATTATAGGTTGAGGTATATAACGTAAGAAACAAGAAACTAGGAGATATTTCAGCATTTAACAGCTCAAAGGTAGGAGAAATAAAAAAAGAAATAGCGAAAGTTGCAAAAATCGCAGTAGAACGTCAGTCCCTTAGATCTGAAGCCAAGGGAAAAGATTTGAAAGATGATTTAACGATTCCGAATCTAGAATCACTAAGGAAAGTCTATGTAAAGGATTTAGGACCCCAAATAGGATGGAATACCGTGTTTCTATTGGAATATGCAGGTCCATTGTTTATTTATGCAGCTGTAGCTACTAGGCCATGGATTCTTTATGGAACTTATTCTAATGAACCTGAAATTACTACAACTGCTAAGTATGTTTTAAAAAGAGTAGATTCTAGTTTTACAGCAAAAAGAAAAATGGTGACCATGTACTTATATATATATTTTTTAGAATTGCCCTTGCATGCTGGAGTGTGCACTATTTGAAAAGAATTCTAGAAACTTTATTTGTACATCGCTTTTCCCACGGTACAATGCCCATAAGGAACCTTTTCAAAAACTGTGGTTACTATTGGGGTTTTACTCTTTATGTAGCTTATCATACAAATCATCCTCTATTTACACCACCACCATTACTGTTTCAGATGGTTGGATTGGGTTTGTTTGCTGTAAGTATAATTTAAAAATGATATATATATTCTTCTACGCTTTACAAATGCAGTTAAGGTTATTTCATGATATAAATATTATGATAAGAATTATATTTATCAATAACGATTTCCGTGTTAGCTTTTATAATTCCAATTATAGCATGAGATAAGATTTGTTTCTAGGAAGTGCTGTAACAACAGAAAAAGTACCTATTATTTTTGAAAATTGTTTCTTCTTTTTATAAGTAGACAGAAAATTGAATAGCTTAAATTAAATGGAAAAATGTTTGCTATTATTTTTAATTTAGCTAACTTAAGTTATTTCCACGGATAATTCACTAGGCAACAATAATTGAAGTATCAATTTTAGATTTGTGAAGGTGGCAACCTAGCTTGCCATGTTTTGTTAAGGAATTTGAGACCTGCAGGCAGCACAGTCAGAAAAATCCCTAAGCCTGATAGATGTCCCCTAAATATTCTGTTTGATTATGTTTCATGTCCCAACTACACCTATGAAGTTGGTTCCTGGATTGGTTTCACCATATTAACCTCGTGCATACCTGGTAATTATTTTTAATATATATTAAGAATTGTTAAGTTATATTTAAAGTGGAAACAAAACACATTTTGATAAAAATATAATTTCTTGAGACATTCTATAGACTATATACAGTCCTTATTATTTTGTATTAGGCATAGCAGTGCTTTCTCAGTGAACATGTGGCAACTACGATATCCCTGGCTTTGGATATTCGGTTCGGCTAATATCCCTCCACCATATCTTCTAATTCTAGTCGACGACAGGACAACTGGCCGTTGCCATTTTATTAACTTATATTCTAGTCGTATAGGTCTTAACACGAAAAAATAAGCACTGTATATAATAATATCACATGTCCCTTTACTAATATAAACAAACAACTAACAAAATATTTCTTAAACTTATACAACTATATAATTATATATACAAAACACTAAAAAATAAAAAAAACCTACACTTTCATGTTAACTAAACAAGTGCTTGCAAACCAGGAAAATTGAGGAACCTAGCCTAGGAATTTCTAAACAAGCTGTTTTAAAATTCAATACAGCACAAAGAAATCATAATAAAGACTGATAATACTTAAACAAGGCAGGAAAACTAATTTTAATCACTAATATGGTACGTTTTGGAGTGATATGAGCTAAGGCTTGAAAAATTCAGGAAGCATTATCCATAATAGTTCATCAGAACTAGTCCGTTTTGATGCACTAGTTTTTCTTCTAGTTAAAACACTAATGATTATATTTATTTTTAGCTGGTTTATTTACAGCAGCTGGAGCCTACCAAATGACAATATGGGCTCTGGGAAAACACAGAAATTACAAGAAGGAATTCTCTGATTATCCAAAACAAAGAAAGGCTATTATTCCTTTCATTCTATAAATTTATTTATTTTCTTAGTTGTTATTTCAGTGTCTTAAGTTATGGTCGGTAAATCGGTTTAATAAATGTTTTTTTTTCTAATCGTGATTTATTTAACCCAGATACCTTTACCCTTTACTAAATGAAATTTGTTCTACCACAGAATTCGTTGTTTGACGTTGAAGCACATTTATTTATGCAGATAATTAAAATAAACTTCTCCATATATTATAATATAGAAAATATATTTGGTTCTGCAGCAATAATTCTTAACTCTTTTACGTTTTTACTCAAAGATTTTGAGTATCACTATACCCTATAATGAGTTTTTTTACATTTACGTCAGTGTTTATTTTAATTAAAAAAATGTCTGATTATTCAAAATCCTTAAAAAAGAAAACTTTTTTGTAAAATACAGAGATTGTACACCTACTTTGAGGAATTCGTTTTATTAGGTTTAATAAATCAAACTAGAATGAAGAATGCTTGGCATTTTATATTATACTCTTCACAGTTTAACCCCCTCCTCCATCTTTTTTCAGAATCAATAGGCTTCATTCCCTTGTAGAGCTTGATTTTTGCTAAAAATTTCAAGTTTATAAACTTTTTGGACTAGAATTTTTGTTAAACATTTTAACCCCCTATTTTTAATCAGATTTTTTTTTCAAAATCAATAGTTTTAGTTCCCCGTAGAGCTTGATTTTCCCGAAGCCTGTGAAGAGTATATTATTCGATCCATTTGTAACGTGTAGTAAGTGTATTTGTGGTAAGAGAAAGTAAACACAATTGATATTAAAATTTATTTAATTGTATAATAATCAACAAATCAAAAAAATAATTGGAACTTTTTGAAACTTAGAACAATATGATAGAAGACAGATGACATGTTTTTAATATTTGATCTATATTTTATTGAAGGCAGCAATATCAACACTTTGTACCTGCAAAAAAAATATAATTAATATGATTTAACATATATCCAAAATTGTTAGGATTATTGTAATTAATTAATAATGGTTAATAAAGTTGAAAAGATGTACGACTATAACTTCTTTGTTAATATTAAATAAAATATGTGTAAGGGTCTATTTATACTCCCTTATTAGTATTTGTATTAGTATTATAATTAAGCATTAAACTGGACTATAGGTCCCAGTTACCTGTGACCTTAACTTGCCTTTTACTTTAACCTCTAAAAAATATTATAGGTGACAGTTAACTGCTAATTTTACAAGTTAACTTACCGGATGGATAGGGTACCAGTTACCATGAAGATTGACATTTGTTATTGGTAAAATTGGATCTTTTTGGTAGTCATTACTGTCGTATGTCATAGATCTTGTGTTTCGTTGTTTTTATAGACCAATAATTATTTACATAATATACAATATATTTTTGAAGATATTTTAAGTGATTATGAAGAGTCTTCAGAGAGAGGCCAGATCATATTAATTTATGGTCTGATGAAGAATATGTAAATAGATTTAGAATATCAAAAGCATCAACAAGGTTCCTGTTGAATTATATCGAAAATGAGATAGGTCGGATTTCTGAACAATAAGTAAACCACACATATTTTCAATCTACACAACTGCACACTATAATTATTATTATTTTTTTAGAAACCATGCTTTAAGTTCTCTAACTCAATTATTAATAACACTAAGATTCTATGCTACTGGAAGTTTTCTGATAGTAGCGGGTGATTTTGGGGCATTCATAAATCAACAGCTAGTAGAGTTATACGAGGTGTAAGTCAGGCTATCGCTTTACGGGCACCTATTTTCATTAAAATGCCTACAACGGAGCAAGAACTAATTTCTGCAAAACCGGAAATGTATGGTTTTGCTAGGTTTCCAAATTGTATTGGAGCTATTGATTGTACTCATGTTAAGATTCAATCACCAGGTAAGGAACTTTACTAAATAATATATATGTATATTATATATAATATTGATTTTAGGTGGTCATATTGCTGAACAATTCCGGAACAGAAAAGGATATTTTTCTATAAACGTCGAGACAGTGTCAGATGCTAATTTAAAAATAATTAATATTGTGGCTAGGTGGCCAGGTGCCTCTGTCGACAGAACAATTTTTGATAACTCACGACTTAAGGCCGATTTTGAGCAAGAACGATTTGGTGACAGCTATTTAGTGGGCGACAGTGGGTATACACTGAGCAGATATTTAATGATTCCACTAGACAACCCTCAAACACAAGCAGAAATTCTGTATAATGAATCACAAATCAGAACACGAAATGTAGTAGAGACAGTATGGTGTTTGGAAGCGTAGGTTTCCAATTTTAAAATTAACACTTCGTTTAAAATTACCAACGACACTGAATGTTATTGTTGCAACAGCAGTTTTGCACAATATTGCTATTGACATGGGTGATAGAATGCCTGATGATGAAATCCACATAGAAGTTGGGGATGCACATTTTAACCATGTTCATGAAAATAATGTGAATGGACTCCATGTACGAAGAGCACTAATACAAGTTTATTTCCAAGATTTATTACAAGAAGGGTAGGCATAAATTGTAATTTTGAGTTTTTTTATGTATTAGAAATATTTATGTGCATAGTTTTTTGATAAATACATAAAACAAATTTGATCTTGCAGGCTTATTTAAAAATAAATTGTTTAAAAATACAATTAAATTGTGTAATATTTTTTAACTTTACTAAGTACCAACATAGATATGAAGACAATTAAATGGAGAAAAAGTAGGTTATTTTATAGTGGGGTTGTACAGTACAAAAATGCAAGTTTTTGTTTATTAGTAAACTTCATTAAAAAAAAAAAAAAAAAAATAGGAAGAAAAATTTTATTTCTATACTAAATTTCTTTTTAAAATTTCCACTTCATAATGAAGTTTCTTCATTCTCATTTCGTGTTCAGCCTTCATTTGATTTATTTGCAATGTGTGTTCCTCTTCTTTCTTCATTTAGAAGACACTGCTGTTGGATTTTGACCAATTCCAATTTTGCCTTGGACAGACAATTAATTTTCACCCTACAATCCATTGTGAGTTGAGTTTTTTTTATCGGCTTTTTAGCAGGAGCAACTATTGATTTTTGTGGAGTGTCTGCTTACTAGGAGTGAGTGGCTGCTTACTTTTTATACAATTAATTGTTTGATGCGTTCTTTTTAAACTTTCTGGAAGTGCTTTCATGTTTGTATCTGTAAAATAAAAATATGTAGGTATGTTTATAACATTAATATTACTCTAAATATGAATAATGTTAAAAAGACTAATAAAATTTGTCTCACTTTGTACACATATACATACCATTATTTGTTTCTTCAATTTGATTGCTGGCAATTTCAGGATGAACCAGTCTCAGCATTTGAGATTGAAACCCACTAGTGCTAGCAATGCCCAATTGGTTTGGAGTATAAAATTTTTTGAACCAGCTTCACTTTTTTGTTTCATTAGTTTCTCTAAATGTTGTGGCGTTATCTGCATAACAGACCAAGTCGGGCCAGATTTTTTAGAGTTTTGTGGTTGTGTTTCGACAACTGAGAGCTGTTCGCTTACCGTTTTTTTCAGTGATTGAGGATTCCATGTAGCCCAAGTTTCATCAGTACTATTATTTGTTGCATCTGAAAGATATATTTAACTTAATAATACAAATATTAGGTACTACAAGATCTACATTTTCATTTTCAAAAAATGCATTACTTGTCAAAGTCTATTTTTAATTACTTGCCTGGTATCAACTGCTCCGAATTATGTACCTGGCTGTCATAGTCATAATCGTTTTCCAGGCCAGTTACCGCTACACCCATTAATTCTTTTACTCGCTCGTCCTTCTGCGTAATCATACACACTTGTGGATTACCGCCACCAGTTTTATACAATTCATTTTTTTCAAATGAGTACTTTTTTTTGTTTCCTTTTTTTATGTTACTCCACTTTTTGCGGAGTTGTCTAGGAGCTCTCGTTGGAAACCCCATTGAATTAAAATTTTCACTTAGAGTAACCCACGCTTTTTCTTTCAATTTCCATGTAACCATGCCTGTCTCCTTATTTTCAAGGATATCTCTAAATTGTTCGACTAGTGAAAGCAAACGTTCGACTTCCGTTTCTGTATAATTGGAACTACGTTTATTCATAGCTTCTTTAAAACAGATAATGAGATAACACAATACAGATAAATGAAATAAAACACAGCACAGATCACTTGTCACTTACACTTTTTAGGTCTTTTCCTTTGCATCGAAAGTGTAGCACTGAGCTACGTCACTTCTGAAAATATCGTTCTATCCATACAATTTGTATATATGGAACGATATTTTCAGAATTGGTGTAGCCCAGTGCTACACTTTCAATGCAAAGGAAAAGACCTACTGTAACACAGCATCAAGAAATATGATTGACCATTGACACTCACAACCCTCAAACCTTGGTTTCTTCTTTTTTAATTAAAAAAGTGACACATTAATGATCTTTGATGACAGAGCTATCCAGTTAATACCGTCAACTTATAAAACATACATTTTGACACCTCGGCTAACTTGAAGATTAACCTTCACAGTAACTTTGGGAATTACCTTGAAGATTTAACTGTCATCTATACAACCGGCCCTAAATATTTAAAAAGGGTATTTATACTCGTTTTATAATTAGCATTAGTGCTTCTTTTTTAATAATTTTTTTCCTAATAAGATATAATTATTCTGCAGTCAACAGAATGTTGGTTACTGAAGAAATATGTAAGAGGCCAGTTTTGTTCTTAGAATATTTTTTAAGATATTTGAGTTTTAAACGTGTTTTTCTTATTATTAATACTAGTTAATTTTATTTAAAAATATTCAAAAATAGGTTTAAGGACATTTTAACGGATTTATGTCTCAAATTTATAACGGATGAAAAGAAGCAGAAATTTGAGACAAATCGGACAGAAAAGAGGCCTTTGCTTCCCCGTAGTGACATGTCATTTGTCAACTTTATACTTGGTAAACATTGCTGATACACAAAAATTGTATATAGTTCATGATTTGTACCCACATATCGTTTTCGAGCTTGTTGGAACAAAACTATAAACAACAATCATGTGTATTGTCATTATCCGTTGCCTATTAAAAACAAAGGCCAAATACGTCATTGATTCATTTGATAGAAAAGAAGAAATTTAAGATTTAACATAAAGTTAGACTAACCGAAACTTGGTTAAACAATACGTTCCTTGACTCAGAAATTTTTAATTTGGATTTATATAATGTATGTCGCAAAGATCGAGACCACAATTTCATGAATACTAGCAAAGGTGAGGGAGTTTTACTCGCTACCAACAAACGAATAACTCTATCAACGATTGATATAATATTCAGACTGTCCCTCATTCTCTGAAATTAAACATATTGATATTCTAGTGTGCAGAGCAAAAATTTTTCATCTGATATTTTATATAATTGTTATCTATATTCCACCTCGTTCATCGGTTGCAGATTATGAAATTTTATTTGATTCCATTGAATCATTGCAATGTTTACACGATGCGCCTATATTGATGATAGGGGATTTCAACATTGCAGAATACACCTTAAGTCAAACTTCCACCAGATTGCAATCGTTAAATAATCTTTGTAATTTTTTCGAGCTTACTCAATACAATAGCATTACTAACTGTGATGGGCGTCTGTTAGATTTATTCAACTTATCCATGCTCGGCCCAAAAGGCAGTTGATGTTTTGGTATATCCAGAAGATAGATATCACCCCGCGTTAGCAATCGATGTGAATTATAAAAAAGGTACTAATAACACTCCAGTATTTAATGCATCCGCATACAACTATAAAAAAGGAAACTTTGTTGCCCTCTATAGAGATCTCCTATTGGTCGATTGGACATTTCTACATGGCCTTTCAAATGTTAATACAGCTCTGGGCTTGTTTTATGATAAATTATATAATATTCTTGATCAACACGTCCCAAAGAAGAAACCTTGTTATAAAACATACCCTATCTGGTTTACTGATCCTTTAATTCACAAGTTAAATTTAAAAAATAAAGCTTGGAAGAAATACAAGAAAACGAACGGTGACGCTGATCTTAATGAATATAGACGCTTGAGGTCTGCTTTTAAGGCTGAAAATATGACTGCCCATAAAAACTATCTGGCTCATGTCAAAGCTGAACTCAAATCAAATCCAAAAAATTTTTGGTCATTCTACAATTCCAAAAAGAAACACAATTCACTACCAACCAACATGTGTTATAATGGCAGCGACTTAGAAACCAGTGCCGCTATTGCATCTGCTTTTGCCAAATACTTTAGTGACTCATTTTTAGACAACTATAAATGTAAACCAGTCCTCCGTTGAAGTTATTTCACCTAACCATGCATTTATAATGCCCAAGATCTCCGAGGACGACGTAATTGAGTCAATTAAGCGTATCAAGACAAACATGACTATGGGTCCAGACAATGTTCCTGCTTTTCTTGTACGTGATGGATTGTTCGTTTTTGCTAAGCCCCTTAGTATAATTTTTAATCTAATAATAAACTCGTCTGTTTTTCCCGAGAAATGGAAAATTTCAAAAACTGTTCCAGTGTACAAAAAGGGCAACAGAAATGATATTACAAATTATAGACCAATTGCTATTAATTGTAATTTTAGTAAAGTATTCGAAATTACAGTTACCAAATTTCTCTATAGGCATATTGAAAATTCAATTTTACCTGAACAAACATGGATTTGTTCGTGGGAGGTCTACTGTTACCAATCTAGCCATTAAAACTCAATTTATCAGCGAAATATTGGATCGCGGTGGACATGTAGATGTGATCTACACTGACTTTACGAAAGCATTCGATCGCCTTAGTCATCCCAATTTGTTATCAAAGTTAAATATGTTGAATTTATCTGATAATGCACTATCTCTCCTTAGCTCCTACTTAAGTAACTGTTCTCAGTATGTCCTTATTAGTGGCGTTAAGTCTCGCTTGATATCTCAAGTTTCTGGTGTACCCCAAGGTTCCATTTTAGAGCCTTTATGCTTTATAATCTTTATTAATGATATTTGTAAGAATATTAATGTACAATATTTACTCTACGTTGATGACTTTAAGCTTATTTCAATAATTAATAACAACAATGACTGTATCGTAATGCAAACTGATATAAACAAAATTCAAAACTGGTGTATAAATAATAAGCTCATGTTAAATCCTGCAAAATGCAACGTAATGTCATATACGCGAAAGAGTGACTGCATAAGATACGATTACAATATAGGAGGTGTCCTCCAGAGACCTGACATGATTAAGGACCTCGGTGTTGTCTTCGATTCAAAACTTACATTTGTTAATCATTTGGCCATAACTGTCGCATCTTGTTATAAAGTTCTAGGTTCCATCCTACGATCTATCAAAGATTTTAATAATCTAGATACGTGCAAATTGTTATTCTGTGCCCTTGTTAGATCCAAGCTTGAATATGCCTCAATAATATGGTCCCCTAATTATAATGTGCACGTTTTAACTTTAGAAAAGGTTCAGCGACGTTTCCTTAAGAGTCTTCATTATTATTTTCATGGAACTTACCCTGAGAGGGGATACCCACAAGACCAGCTTTTAACAATGTTTGGAATGCAGAGCTTATTTCAACGAAGAATTATATCTTCAATTATTTTCATTTTTAAAATAGTACACCATTTAATTAAATGCCCGGCTTTATGTGCTCAGCTTAACTTCCTAGTTCCAAGAATTAATTCCAGGTACAGCTGCACATTCATTCTTCCCACTCCCAGAACAAACTTATTATGTCAGTCTCGATTGTACCATATGCTGTCCACGGTTAATGATTCGAGTAAAGAAATTGATCTATTTTGTACTACCATCTCAAAGATTAAAAAACTTTATTCCTGATTTATATCCATATATTCCTAATTAAAATATTTAGTGAAATGTAATTTAGTGTAATTAAGTTTTTTATGTTTTTGTATCTAATTTCATCTTTATATATTAGTTGTTTCGCATGCGATATGTGTGAATAACCTTTTTTCTCCACTGGAGTTTTTTTCAGATTACTCATACAATCTCATTTATAGTTTTACTTTAAAATTTGTTTTGCTTTTATTGTATTATTTACAAATATATGTTTATTAATGTTAAGTGCGCATTCTGTAATAGGCCTTGGCCGTTGAATGTAAGAATAAATAAATAAATTAATAAATAAATAAAATAAATAAAAAGTTGAACTTGTCAATTATTAAGCATAAATATTAATGCTAGTTCTAATCATAAATCGAGTATAAATGCCCCATTACATTGTGAAAGTTCAACTTAATCCTTAATCATAATGCAAATTCTAATAATAAGGGAGTATAAATGGATCCTAAGAAACTAGTTTTTGTACTCACATAATCTTCAATTTCTTCCAGTTTTTCAGTTAACCAATCAATAGAAACTTTGTCATCTTCAACGACACAGGATATTTGCAACTTGTGGATACCATAGGCTAGTGGAACTAGTTTGGATGCTCCCCATAGTAGACCATCGGCTACGATTTTTCTTACATTTTCTTCCATAAGTTTCATATCGGTTTCATCATCCCAAGGTTTTATATCCAAAATTACGTTTGATTTTGCTATCAAGGTGGGCTCTAAAAGTGTGATTTAATTGTCAGACTTTTTACGGGAAATTCTACTTGTGGATATTTTCTTTGACTTTAATAATAATATTATCCCTAATGCATCCCCTTATGAGTGAATTTCAATCGCTGAAGCCCACTAAACCTGTATGTGCATATTATTATTTGCGTGGCGCTCCGAGGCGACTTTAAGATGATTAATGGTACCATTGGACTTGAGGAAAACCCCACCCACCATCATCAAAACGGTAACACATGGCGATTTATAATCTGGCTGTCATATCAACAGAAATTAAATTACTGCTAATACAGAATCCATCAAATCCTATAACAAACCATGCAAATTAATAAAAAATGCACATGCTGTAGGATTCGAAGCTGCGTGTCCTTCAACCACAAAATTGTCTGTTACCAATACCATTTTAAATGTAGTAATGCATGATCCACAAAAAATGTTTCTAAAGTAGGCCAAACTGTCGTCTACAAAAGAAGAAACATTTTTATGTGGATCACTTCATATTTCTCTATGATTATTAGAACTTTTAACATGTAATTTTTGATTTAAAATAGTCATACACAAAATTGTCAAAATTATGAATCTTTTATGTTTTAAATCAGACATATCAAAAGTACCCAATTATATAAACCCAAAACCCTTTAATAAAAATCATGTAATTTCTGTTATATGAAAATAAAACATGCAGTCTTTTGTAAATCAAGAATGTGCTACATTGCAATAGCCTAAACACACTAAGTGCAGAATAAGGAGAACTTACTCTTGGATTTTTTGGCTTCATAAGCCTTGAGCCTTTCTTCTTTTAATTTGCTTGCCGCTTCACTTTCTTCTTCTGAATCAGAACCAAAGAGATCGACATCATCATCATCTTCATCCTTCTTTGCTTCTGAAGTTTTAGGTGCTCCTGCTATGCTTATTTGATGTACTGGTTTTGACTGATTGCTTGTTTTTTCTAAGGAGGCAACACGGACATCAATGGAGTTTAATTGTTTGATAATGGCATTTAGAGCTAAAAAATAATAATTTTGTAGACAATTTGTTTTAATGTAGTCTTAAATAATTTACTCACATTTTTCAAATTCAACTAGTTTCTTTTCAAAAAACTTAATGGCTCCAGTATCAATGGTTTCTATGTTGGACTGAAAACAAAAATTAAGGAAATATTTACCAAACCAAGTGTCTAAAAAATATAAAAATAAGAGATTTTATACCACAACCACTAACAAATAAGATACAATTTAAGGATGCACTGATAGTTTAGTTCTTTTAGTTGATAACAGTTTTTTTTTTAATTTAATCTGTTTACATCAGTGCATCCCTGAATAAAATATAAAAAAATAACATAAAAAATAATTCTTTTATTTATTTTATTAGTGTCATTTATGTAAGTTAGTAAAAAAATATCAAAATATAACTAATTACACATGGCTAACGGGATGGTCTCTTATGACACTTACATTGTGTAAAAAAGAACATATTAGAAGGTCAGCACTATTACATACTGTGCTGTATTTTTTTATAAAGTATTTATCTTTTAGAAATAAGAGACCTTCTCGTTGGTCTCACACCATGTATATAGTTTCAAAAAACGCATTTTTAAAATATTGAAATTTGCTTTTCAGATAAAAGTTTAAGCTCCAAAGGAAAGAGGCTGTTAACTTATTTTACACATTTTTTGTCAGCGTTGTTTGAACCTTTCTAATGAACCAATTCAATATCAAGCTACTATTATAAGCTTCTACTTATAACTTTGAACTCAAATAAAAAATTGTTTTAAGAAAGTTGTAACTAAGATAATTTTTCTGATAGAGATGAGATGTTACAGCTTTCTTCAAAAAAAATTCCAAACACACAAAGGTCTGTAGGGTAGTTTTACTCACAGTAAAAGTGTCCCTACTTTCGATTAAACGTTGACGAGCTTTTGCTACTTCACCTGCCAATGGGGTTAGAGCTGCCTACACCAAGAAAAATAATATATTACCCAATGTTTTTAAATGTCCACTACTAAATACCATATACAAAATATTTTTTAACAGTTTTCATTCTAATTTGGAGGTGCATAATTTAATCAAGTTATATTAAAATTATACAAAGTGTACTGGATTAAAGTATAAAAAAATTAACTGATTACAGGGTTCTATTTGTAACATTTTTCAAGATAATTCACCCTCGAAGGATGAAGCTAAAAAATAATTTTTACATTTCAACAAAACTAGAAGTGTGGCTTAATGCTTCTACTTTGTTCTGTCTGGGGTTATCTCGAAAAATATTACATGAAAAAAAAAAAAAACCACTTTAATTTTGACAAAGAATATCATTCAATTTTTCTTCTTTCCTGTCTGTATACAGATAAGGAAAGTGTAGGAATCATGATTTTTTTTCGACCTCGGGTTTTTGATGGATTTTTACGTTTTGGGGCAACCGTGTGTATACTCGATAACTCATGAACGGATGCAGAAAAAAATACCAAATTTTAAACTTAAGCTTTATTCCGGCCTGTGGTTAACTGATTAGATTTTGGGCATAGTCGGAACACATAAGGGATCGTTCTTCTATTTAATAGAATATATGTTATTTACACTTGAAGAAGAAAATGCTTTAAATAAAAGTTACTTGTAATATTATTCTCTATAATTTATGTACTATAAAAAAATTTCCTAAAGTGGTATTCGAGAAAATTGACAAAAAGTCAACAATTCAAATTTTTACGAAAATTTTTTTCATAAAAGTTGTTTGTGATGTCATTCTCTATAATTCTTGTCCCCTCATAATTTCTTTAAATGGACCCTATTTGAGATATTTGAAAAAAGTACAAATTTCGAATTTTAAAAACTCTAAAACAAAATAAAAGAAAAACATCAAATTTTAAATTTAAGTTTTAATTCATCCTGTGATGAACTGATTAAATTTTGGGCATATTCGGAATATCGGGGGGTACTTTATAAAAGGTCGTTTTTTCTACTTTTTGGAATATATGTTAGCTACAATTGAAGAAGTAATTTTTTAAATTTACTTGTAATGTTATTCTCTATAATTTTTGTCCTTTACATAATTTTTCTTAAATGGTCTGTATTGGAGAAATTTGACAAACTGCAAAAATATAATTTTTAAGAAAATTGTTCGAATAAAAGTTGTTTGCGATATCACTATAATTTTTATTCTATATATGATTTCTCTAAAATGGACCGTAATGGAAAAATTTGAGGAAAAGTATAAAATTTTGATTTTTCAGTATTTTCATTGGCAATGAATATTTACAGGGATACAATAGGTTGTACAAAATAACTGGAAGAAGCCTGTAATAACAAGACAGGAAAGTGTTACACATAGGGTTGGAAAAAACCTAAGATTTAAAAATATATAAGTAGGTTTTTAGGTTAGTTGGGTTTTTACGGTTTAATAAGGTTTTATGGGTTTTTAGTTCATATTATATAAAAATTTATTATTAATAAAGTTAAAAAAATACAAGCAAAACTTGAAAAATAGAATTTTATTATACTAAAAAAAATCTCCTGCAAACAAAAAAAAAACTATCATTAATATCAATATCAAGACATGATTTTTATATAAATACGCTCACTTTTGTACCCTTTCCCCCAATAGTTGATTAGTAAAATTGTGAATTCTTATTCATCTTAAAAAACCCATAAAACCTAGGTGCAAAAAAAACCTGTACCGGCCAACCCTGGTTACATCAGATTTTTTGTTTTAGTCCAGGAACCCTGCATTAAGCAATTCTGATGTTTCTTTTTAATTACGAATGGTAACAAATTAAACAAAATAACATAAAACTTATTAATTAATTAGCTACAATCTGTTATATTTCTTATTTAACAATGTTTTTGGTTGAAATAAAAATTTGGAATACTTACTTTTGCCAAATTTTCATAGTAGGTGATTTCTGCGTCTTCATAGATTTTTCTATTTAGCCAAATGCTATCAACATCTTGAGTTGCCATCTTGTCTTTGCTGTAAGAGGGAAAAGGGGCCTTAAATTAGCAAGCTCCTAATCTGAGATTTGAGGTTAGGTTAATTTCGTGGAAATACGGAAAGAGATATTTATATAAAATTTGAAAACAATCTTATATTGATATGTTAAGTTTCCTTACCTTTAAATTTTTTTTTTGACTTGTTCTTTAGAATAAAAACTGAAATAAAGTTCCAGACAGGTGGTAAATCAACCTTTCTATGGACTGAACATGGAGGAAGGATAATTAAGAGTTGCCGTTTCTTTGTATAAATATGGCAACATGTTTGCCTTCAGCGACATGTGGGATAGTTTTGTGCAACTAATACTCAGTCGGTAATATAAAAAGCTGTAATGCTATTTTAATTTGAAAATTGGCGGGCTTTTGAATTTACTTCGACAAAATATAAGAATTTTACATTTTTAATAGCATTTTTTTAACACGCATCTCATGCGTGTTAAAAAATGCTAATAAAAATGTAAAATTTTTTGTTAAATAATTTTAGAGGTATAAAATAAATAATACAAAATTATTAATTAATTAATTAATACTAAATATTATTTGTTGAATCTTTATTGGTTACAACAATAAACATAATATATATTTTCTAAATAAACAACTATTTTAAATAACACAAAACGAACAAAAATTTTCTTTAATCGTGCGAAATAAAACAAGAGTTCCATCCATAAATCCTGAAACGAAAAGAAAAAAAAACAATTGTTGAAAGCGAAAAACTTCCTAAAGCACATGATTTTGATTGTATGTGACTAATTACTTTTGCATTTGCAGCGATTTAACTAATTTTTAATTTACTACTTCTAATTTCTATAACGTCTAATTAAGATTTTCTTGCTTTATGTAATGAAAATACTTTAGATTTATAAAGATTAAAAAGTTTGGTTATAATACATACAATTAAATTGGCATATCTAGGATAATTATCAAAATGAATATCAGAATTAAAACTTTGTTAAGGATTTCAATATTTGGGGATAACACAATTACGAATACGAATAATAATCCTTTTTTCAGTTGACAATAAAATTAAAATGTTTTTTCTAAAACAGTGTAAATGGGCCAGAACAATTTACTATTACAATCAAATATATGCATTTATAGGACAGAGACATGCAAAAGTATCAAAATAAGTTTACTTACAGTAAATTATTACTAAATTTATACCTAAAACTATATTAAATAAAAGTAAAACTCACTTAGAATTGTTTACATCGACAGCCATATTATATTTTGTATCATTCGGGTTTCGTTTATCGAGTCGACTCGAGCATTAACGAGATTTGGGTTTTGTTATTCAAAGCCAGGTTTACATTGCACAAATAATTGAATAAATTCATATTTTTTCAATTTTACGATTGATAAATAAAAAAAATGTGAAACTATTACTTTTGGCAAGTTAATAACACATTTTTATTGAGATATTTTGTAATTATTCTGTTTTCTTTACATTTTATATATAATTGTGTTATTGTAAAACGGACGTACGCCAGTTTCGATGCGCAGTAACTTGTTGACAAAATGCGCACATGCTATAAACCCCCGTGGGACTGAAAACTTCAAAAAGAAATAAGATGTGTCTCTTCTTCCTTTTTCTAGATGAAAACAACTTTTGAAAGAAGAATCAAGAAATGGATCTGTCAAAATAGGTTCTTTCGTTCGTCCCATTGGTGTAGGTATGAACTACACCGACGCACACCAATGCTGCCCGTGGGTTATACTTCGCGGCCATAGATATGATCTATGTTCGCGGCATAAACCAACATGAACGTTTATTTATAGATTATGGTATTTGGACGTCTATAGACGTTTAAGCACCGATTCCACCGTTGTGTTAAACGAAGTTTAAAACGGCATTTTCACATTAACAATGTCATTTTAATCTCCGTTTAACACAACGGTGGAATCGACCCATGATCGAATATCGACCCTAAGGAGCGATTCCACCGTTGTGTTAAATGGAGATTAAAATGACATTGTTAATGTAAAAATGTCATTTTAAACTTCATTTAACACAACGGTGGAATCGGTCCTAAATAACATAATGCGGGGTCTATTCTGTAACAATTCCTTTATATTTAACGGCCTTTAAAAATATTGGCGGCTTTTAAAAATATGTTCGTATTCGTTAATTAACTTCTGTCATTACTAAGGACTGATTCCACCGTTGTGTTAAACGAAGTTTAAAATGACATTTTTACATTAACAATGTCATTTTAATCTCCGTTTAACACAACGGTGGAATCGACCCTTAAACAGATTTCTTTAAGGATCGATTCCACCGTTGTGTTAAACGAAGTTTAAAATGACATTTTTACATTAACAACGTCATTTTAATCTCCGTTTAACACAACGGTGGAATCGGTCCTAAGATAGTCCTCTAAGGGCCGATTCCACCGTTGTGTTAAACGGATATTAAAATGACATTCCTAATGTAAAAATGTCACTTTAAACTTCGTTTAACACAACGGTGGAATCGGTCCTAATGTATTTTAAAGATCCGTTTTAATAATGACAGAAGTAAAGAAGAAAATATTTTTAAAGGCCGTTAAATATAAAGGAATTGTTACAGAATAGACCCCAATATATCATAAATGTTTATGTTGGTTTATGCCGCGAAAAATACCTTAAATATGGCAAACCTGTGAACCATCTGTGAACCTTTTGGCTTTGACAGGGTCAATGATTCATATATCTAGTTCAATGAACTGGAGTGGGGTAGAATCACATACTTTGATTACTATACGAGGCAAGAGAGAGGTCCGACACGCCCAACATAGGGCGCGGCCATTTTTAACCCTGTGACACAGTTTACAGCTAAAGAATCAGATCGCTCACTCTGCGTCGGCACTTTGGATCTCAATGTTTCAGTTTATACACTGTGCAACTCGGATAATACAATATATGACAACCGCCTATAATAAAACAGCAGTCTTCTGCGTATCCTGAATTTGTATCCCTGGAGTGGATGTTATTTTGGAACTTTTAACTGGTCCGAGTGAGCTAACTGATTCTTTAGCAATAAACTGTGACTTCAAAAATAATATTCACTGACATTGACAGCAGCAATCAAAATATCAGGTGCGTTTTAATAATCCGCTTCTGCTTCTGGAATTGTGGGTTTAGTCGTTTTAACCTGTCAGATTAAAACAAGAAAACCGACAATTCCGAAGCAGAAGCGGATGATTAAAACGCACCCATTAAAAATATTGCGCCAAGATGTAGGCAACACGTAATAAGGGTTCAAAATGGCGGAATTTTCTATCTCCTTTTAAAAGGCACTCAGAAAGCTGCGCAGGGCGACCATTCTCCGTATAGTATAGTATAGATTTTATTAAATCAGTCAGAAATTGTGGGAGCTGTTAAGGGACTGGCAAATAACACAAATTGAGAAATTTGTAGTAAATTTAAAAATAATTTCTTAATTTCTCGAAACTTTCGTTGCTCTTCCATACAAAAGCTACTTTTTTTTTTTCAACATGTTAAAAGAAAAACTGGGAATAACTCAACAAGTTTTAATTATACATAATCGAATATTTTCACTTGTTACTCGGTCATGCTAGGGATTGCTCGGCACGACACCCACAGACGATACCTGCTCCAGCGTGGAGGCTCGGCAGGAACCGGTTACCCAAAAACCATAATAAATAAAAATAATGCCGAAAGAAAATTTGAAAATATCTTTAATGTTATTGGTTGTTTCGAAATATTCGTGGACTTAATATCAGACATACGTGAAACTACTATTTCCATGGGAATGTCTATTCCGACAAGTTTGAGAATTGCATAACCTATTACCATGGGAACATAAGTAGTGGAATCTTTTCCCATGGGAAAATTTTCCAATGAACTCGAGAATCAAGCCCCTGGTAGCCATTTGGACAGGTCGTTGGAATGCCTAATACGTACCATGGTGGAAGAACGTACTAATTTTGACAACTAATAAAACAATTACATAGGAACTATGGAGGGTAGAGGAAAGGAGAACAATCTCTGTATACAAAAAGTGTCCCTCAAAATGTATACAATTAAGATGGCGCTTCTGTGCCCAGGGGACGTCGACAGTCGATAATTCAGATCACACAATGACACCAATGATGTATATAGTAATAAATATTGCTCAACCATAAAAAACTAAAAACTACACCGTGAAAAGTGACTGATCGTAGAAGAGTAAGTGTTCTGTGATCGTAGATAAATTTTGACAATACACGACAATTGTCAAATTTTATTGAAAAATAATAATATAAACAATAAATAATTCTTATATTAAAATGGCACGGAGGTCTCAATTTACTGCTTCCTGTCTGATTTAATTATGAATGAGCAATCTATATGACTATATAGCATTGGATTTTGTCCCCTGGCTACACGAGCGCCATCTTAATTGTATACATTTTGGTGGCCACTTTTTAATATAAAGATCCATATAAGATTGTCCTCCTTTTCTCTACCCTCCATAATAGGAACCTAGGACAAACGTCAAATGCACAGCATGCTTGATTGAAAAATTATGGGTTTCTATTGATTAAAAATCTGTATCGTTATGAAAAATCTGTATCATAATGGGTATCATTATGAAACAGATTATAGACATAAAAGTGCCTTATTATAATACGGGCGTAGAAAAAAATGTGTTTTAAAACCAATTTTCATCCTTTAAATATAGTAAAAAACATAATTACCTACATTTTTACTCCAAGGAAAAACATGGATGATAATTCTATATATCTATTCATTGACCCTAATCGCCAGACCCACATGGTTGTCTAATCATAACCTGTCATAACCCACGGGCAACCATTTTGTTTGGAATGCCTAATAGGAAATTTCTTTCCAAATGGCCCTGCGAGATTTAAATAATAAGTTAATTAAATCTAATGTATTTTAATAAGGTTAATATATAAAGAATGCTCCAAAAAAATGTTTCTAAAGTAGACTATTACTGACAAAGACATATATACGAGTCGCGT